TGTTAAAATAATATATGTAGCTGAAATCCCTATAGCTACCATAAAAATTAACTGTAAATTTTATCGTATGTGACAATAAATTTTTTTCTTGTGGGCGAAATTATCGTATGTGCAAAGAAGTTAGAAATGTTATATTATTATTATTATGTCTATATTTTAGTTTTTTTTTTTAATAAATTCACTGCACTTTATAATGACATAAGTATTTATTGCGACAGTTACGCTGGTCAAAACCGTAACAAAGCCGTAATAGAAATGCTGTCATATTTTTTAAATTCTTCGACCTTCATAAATAAGATTAAAATAACATATTTACTTCCAGGCCATACTATGCTGCCAGTTGATTCTGTACATAGTACAATTGAATCTTTTGTACGAAATCGTACTATTTGGGCGCCTAGTGAATGGCCCATAACCGTTCGCAATCCACGAACCAATCCTTCAAGTTACGACTGCATCGAAATTGGCACTCTGAGTTAAAAAACTGGAAATCTTTTGCAGATGTTTTGTTACCCACCAAAATTAAAATAAACTTAAACGACGAAGATTAAAACTGTTTCAAAACATTAATTTTAATTAAATCTATGTCTTTGTTGAAGGTGACTATTGTTTAATGTTAATGTAAAAACTTAATAATAAAAAAATCATTAAACTCCTGATTTTTCGCAAATTTAAATAACAAATACCGCTATGTTTCAGTTTATATGCAATTTCAACTGTTATAAATGTTATCGTTAGTACCATATTTGGCGAGTACTTTTATAAAACCCTGTGAATAAAATTATCGTATGTGCCGAAAAACATATATATTTAAAAAAAAGAACATTTTCCACGCAAAAAAAGCTTGAGGTTAATTAACTTACTCAATTATCTCACCAAATCTAGAATTTAGTATTGATGGTGCCAGCCAGAGCAGAGAAAAATAAAAACACTCCTGTAAACACTCCTGGGTCGATATAATTCATATTTTACAACACAAAAACATCGGGTGTCAAGATTAAGTGTTTTGGCTAAAATTCATATTTGAGTGTACAAGCGTAAAATAGAGTTCTTTTCAGCGTACCATTCAAATGCTAGTTACATAAAACTAAGTAGTTTCGTTTAGTATTTCTGTTAAAGCAATTTTATACATTAGTTACCTTTCTACATATCGTACACGTTCTTCAAAGGTGACACAACTCAAAATTACACGTTCGGTAGAAAATGCGATAAACTATTTCTTAGCACATGCTAATCATATGGGCAGGGAAGACTTTGCCTTATAACAAAAATTTGCTCCAGTTTTTGCTGAAAGGTAAATGCAACCTCTGTATACATCTTTAGTGCATAATTTCAAAAATTCCAAATTTTGAGTTGTGTCATTTTTTTGAAGATGGTGTGCGATATGTTAAAAAATATCTTTCGCTGTTGTATAAATTTCGACGAGATAGTTATAATTCACAATCGATCACATTCTGGAGTAAAACGTCCCACCAGTCACAATGGAATGGCCCAGAATGAAATATATTTTAAATGAAAATTACTAAAAATATATAAATTAAATTAAGTTTCAAAAAATATCATAATACATGCGCTATTCTTATCATGACGAACACAATTATTTTATTACTAATGCAATGTAGTTTTTTTTTTTTAATTTGGGTGATTGATTTTATAGCTCAAAGTACAATGATTAATCAAAACATATTAAATGGTTCTAAAGTTATTTATGGTTTTACTTCACTCGAAGAATACAGATAGGGCAAATCCGAGAGATAGTCATCCAAAATAGGGATGTCAATGCATAAAGTTTGAAAGTTTGATTTATATGGTTTTGGTTGAAGCATGAACTATATTTTTATGAAAAAATAACAAAAAAAAATGTAATTTAAAAACCTTGCAAATATTTAACAAAAATCACCGTGTATTCATTTCTGCTCCCCACTGTAGTGTTTAAAACTAAAAAGTAAAGTAAATAAGTGTGAAAAGAAATATGAAGTTAATATAATTTAAATTACATACATTTTTTCCGTTTTTGGTTGATTATTTCTCGGATTTGCCCATATCTGAACACAGTATAATGTATTTTTCGAGTGAAGTAACACCATGTATAATTTTCGAATCATATAAAAATTCTTCTAACTACTGCAATTTTTTTCTGTTTTGATTAATCATTATACTTTGAGCTATAAAACAATCGCCCAAATTTAAAAAAAAAAAACATTGCATTAAAAATACAATAATTGTGTTCGTCATGATAGCAATAGAGCACGGGAGGGACGTTATTTAAACCAAACATTCATTTGAAAGCAAAGTTTATTGAGTTGCACGTGTTGCTCTGCTTAATGATTTTACGTATTTAGTCGTGTACATAGGTAGCTCCTCATCACAATTTAATACATACATATGTATGTATGTACATATCGGAAAACATTTACAAAGTTCAAGTGACTATATTGGAAACCCACATACTATAGAAATGCAGTGTGCTGCTCCATTATATTTTAAGGAGCTTAGCAACTGTACTTTTTAGCGCATGTATCTTAATTATTTTTCAATGAATTAGAACATACATATTTGTACGATTATGTATATATGTAAGAGTTTTGTAAATAGTTGTAACGTAATAACAGCAAAGTTCAATAGTTACGACAGTCTTATATTTAATTGTTATATGTTTTATATGCATACATATGTTTTATATTTCTGGCACTTTAACTGAACTGCATATGTACTCTTTCCAATAACGTAGTAATCATTTCATTGCAACTTTTTTTCGAGAACAAAACATACACTTTTTTTTATAATAAAAATGTAATGTGTAATAAGGTGTGAATGTTAATAAAAAGTCTAGTTAATTATTGGCGGAAGTGAATGCACGGTTCGGATTCCCAGAAAAAAGTTAGAAAAGTTCTTAAGTAATACAATAGGTAGTTAATTTTTTTTATATTCCTCATAAGTCGTAATTCAATAATTTTCCTGTTTAGATCAGTGTCAAGAAAAATATTCTACTTGTACTGCTAGAAAAATCAATCTTATAGGTTTATACAAAACGAGAAGTAACTGGTTGAATGGACTCTACAAGGCGAGAAACGGAAGTTCGAGTTGCCATAGGGAAGACTAAAGTCTATAAAGCCAGGGCCTATGGTAAGGATGTGTACGCCACTAACGGGCACTGCCTTGCCCGCGGGCAAAGCTCTTTTAAGCGTTCTATACATTTTGTATAGGCGCGTGCAGAGTAAAAGAGTAAAGGCGTATTTCACCTTATACTATCCGGTTTAAGGCATCCAATTCCGGACTATTTTGTGAATACCGGGATTTTCGGGATTAAAACCATTAACCCTGCAAACCATTTTTCATGGTATTCTGAATTCTTGAGAAATTTTAAAGAATTCGTAAAGAACTCGTCCGATTTTTTACCGGATTTTCTAAAATTAAATAAAATGTGCACACTTCATTTCGTTTAGGAAATTTCGGAAGAAAATCGGTAAAGCAATGAGAATAATGCCGCTATGTGAAAGATTTCTAGCCGAATTTTCCCAGAAGTTTCTTCATTTTTCGTACAGGAATTTCTTTACGAGTTCGGCTCAACCACTTCATATAATTTACTTTGAAGATTCGTAAAAAAGTCGTAACAGAAAGATTTCGTTAAGATTTCGGAAACTTCGGTTTTCGGGGAACGTTACATTACATTACAGTGTCTGAATTTCGTCCTATTTTAGTTTGGTCGTAAATTAAATTATATCCCGGGATTTTGGGCTCAAATAAATAAATAAATAAGGGCTTGGGACTCCCGGGTTTCGGGAGATGCCTTAGTTCGATTTTAGGTAAGAGATTAATTTTAAATTAATGAATTTGTTTTTCATTAAAATTGTTAAAACTTCTAAAATATGCATGGCATCAATAAAAAGAAATCAAAGAAAGATTAGTCGTAATTAAGCATAGATATTTAAAAAAATTACATAATTTTTGGAAGAGGGGAATAAGGCTAAACTTCGCAGGCCTGTAGATTGATTCTTCGAGAAAAATATGAACTAATGGTTTGCCATCGTACAGTATGTTTAAATTTAACTTATCCAGCAGCCGGATTCCTACATTCGCTATCGCTAATTCTTATTTTTTTGGGTTTGGCCGATCTTATCCTCTAATTTGTGATGTGCGTCTTGATGTTGTTAGACGAATGTAGGGATCTACAATTTTTCGTCTCCTCCGGACGTCAAATACACCTTATGAGAAGCTTTTTCATGGCAGAAATAGTAATACACTCGGAGGTTTGCCGATACCTGCCGGAGGCCAACCACCGTTAGAAAAAACTGTTTCGAATTTTAGACATTGCTTGGACCAAATATCGAACCCAGGTCCTACAGAGTGGTAGCATATACCCCTTTTCGCCCGGTCACAGCGGCCGCTGAACTTAAAGCAATTCAAAATCCATGCTTCTTGGAAATGCATACCTACATACACTAGGCGACAAATGAAAGTGTATAACTTGTTCTTATATAATATTCACAATTATTTTTATGACACTTTGTTTGAATTAATTATCTATGGAATTTCTATATTATAAACCATATAAATTAAGGTTTCAAACTCTATATAAAGTTCACAATAATTAAAAAACGTTCAATAAAATTTTCAAGTTTGTATTCACAATTTCTAGAAAATTTGCGAGTATCCAGTTTTGTAGTCCATTCAAGTTTAGTCTAAAGAAGAGAGCGAAAGTTGCAACCGGCTAAAAAATCATGTTGATTTTTGAGATTTTTTTTTGTGTTGGAGACTGCTTTTGTCTTTTTTATATTTTTACATTTTTGTGAGCTTTATATTAAGTATGAAACTTTGGTTTGTATGGTTTATATTTCAGAATGAACTATATTAGCATAAATAATTAAAGGAAAAAATGCTTCATGAAAATAATTGTCAATATTATATTAAAAGAAAGCGTATACTTTCATTTGTCGCCTAGTGTATTTTTAAATCTTCATGACCATGATACTCAACAATTATATTTCCTTTCATTTCAGAAAACCGGGCTATGAGGATAAAATTCAATACACAATCGCTGAAAAGAAAGACAAAAAGGGCACAAAGGCACATGTCAATTCTGTATTCTTCAAACAATTACGACAGTTGTTGCGTAAGTACACAAAACTTCACTTTGGCAACAACAACTCTATATTGTAGCTATTAATCTAAACGGCTAAATGCCTCGTAACCGCGTAAATCTAATAAATAAACCGTTTTGCCCTATTGTTGCCTTAATTTTATAAATTTTTTTTTATCGATAAAAACACACGAAATTACGTTAAAATATTATAGTGTAAGTCATAAAATAACAGTATCACATTAATATAAAACCGACCAAATCAAAATAACTATAATTTTCAGTCAAATAAAGTTAGTTCTCTTCTTCTAAGTTGGGGGCAATCTTGCCACCTACCGAATTACGATTATCAAATATGTAATTAAATAGTCGTACCCTCAATAATAATGTAATACTTACAATGTTTTTCGAGCTCAATTAGTTCAAGTTTTGAGTTTTTTTTTGCTGACGGCTTTTGCGGTTTTTTTTCACAATAGGTCTTTGCGCATATTCTTCCACAAAAAGTTCATGTTTACATGGAAAAAAGTGCAAAACGGCGTCAACAAAAAAACGAATAAAAATCAATGCGATTCTTTAGCCGCTCAAAACTTGCACCAATTTTACTAAAAATTTATAATCCTGTTAACTGCATACCCAAAAAATTAAAAAAAAAATTCTGGTTAACAAGCTCGAAATTTAGATACAAATTTGTGGAGTTTTTCTAAATTCTGTATAAAGTTTGTAAGTGTGATTTATATGGTTTTTGTTAAAGCATGAACCATATTTTTATAAAAAAATATCAAAAAAATTTTTTCATAGCTTGAAAAACATGGAAATATTCAAAATGAAACACCATTCATCCACTTTTGACCGCCACTGTATGTACATTGTACATACATATGCATGCAAAAAATTATCACGTTTAGCGCTAGGTTTTATTATAAGCTTTTTTTTACGTATTTGCTTTGTTTTGTTAAGTCAACCGTGTTTTAGCTGTTCATCGGTCGTTTGGGTAATGCTGCCAGACGTGAATAGGGTTTCGGAATGAGTAGGTCATACCACTGAAGTATTGAGTAAGAATTTTATTTAGCACTTTACACCAGTGAATTATTGAAGATTGCACGTCAAACGTGAAGAGTGCAAGCAAAAACAAAATTCAAACCGGCAGAATTATGTATGTAACACAATTTAATTTAGTAAAATTGAAAGATTTACCGTCCATCAATCATGACGAGAAGAACAAAACAAGAATATGTACTTAAGTACCTATATGCAGTGGCAAAAATATAAATAGGGAAGAGACATTTTAGCATTCTTCGGATATTTTCCTTTCGTTTATTTATGGTGATTTCGTTTCTACCAAAAAATGTCGCCCTTTATATTTTTAAGAAAATTTTGTGCTCGTTTCTTAAAATGTTACACAAGGTCGAAGCCAAAAAAATCATATTCTCTGCCCTTTGAAGCTTTGTCAGGGGACATGATTCAATAATAGGATGGTTTTGTAATAAAACAGTCTTCCCGCTCCCACACATAAAATCGGCTCCTTTACTAGTGCAGAATATTGCTCACTCTACAGTTTCTAGTTATATTAGTAGTAAAACCAAAAATTCTTCATACTAAATATTCGTTGGCATCACCTTCGTTTGCGTAATTTTCTGGAACAAGTCTAGAATAGCGCCCGTTTAGCTAAAAAATAACCAAAAGTGCCTATTGATAGAACTTTTTACGCTGATTTCAACGATACCAAATTTATTTGGCGCTGGTAAAAAACGAAGAAGATATAAGAGGTTTATTTGCTTTGTTTATTTATATTTTTTATTATCACTTAATTCTTAAAACCCAAAAGTAGATCATGATAAAATACGTATATCGAATTAAAGATAATAGCTTGTACTTTCTAAATAATATAAATTTTTTACCATTAATCATGCAGTTTTTTCCAAAAAAGGTTATTTCATGAAAAACTAACATTTATTCGTTTTTTAGTGGTTTTGGTTTAGATATATAAAAAACAATTTCAATTATGTATATCAGCTGAAATCAAAAAAAATAAATAAAAAATCAGTACTTTTGGTTGCAGTTGCATTCCTTATACGACTTTTTACCTCATTATGAAATTAGTGACGCAAATAGAAAAAAAAAGTTAACAACTAATTCCTTACAAAAAGCAGTTCTTCCCCCGACTCCGCACGTAAACTGAAATTCCCCGCTCGAGCCTCCCCCCTGCCCGTACGTAGCGACGCCCATGAATAAAAAGGCGACATTTTTTGGTAGAAACGAAATCACCATTAATTAAGTTTTGTAACTTATGTATAAGTATACATACATCAAAAAATTTTTACAATGTATATACCAAATGACTATTTGTGATTTAATAAAAACAACATTTTAATATCATATTTGAAATTGCATGTTTTTTTTTTTGAAAACGAAAAATAAAACATTTTAGAATTTTATTTGAAAATAGGCATTTTCAGTTACCAAATGATGGTTTTTTAAAAACGATTTGAAAATGTGCGCGTCAAAAACAAATATGTAGATTTTAGAAGTTGAATACAAAATTTTCGTTCTCAAAACTGAAACGACCATTGTAGGTGCAAAATCTGGTTCGAAACGTTTTTAAAAGTAAAACGTTCCACACGAATTTGAAAACGAAAAATTCTCTGTGTACATACACCTGTGGTCAGCTGATTAAGTCAGGTCACATTTTGACGAGTTTTGGCTGTTTTTCTTTTGTTTATTTATTAGTTTTTAATCATTTTTTTTTAGTTGACGATGTTGTGCGTTTTCTTCCATATAAAGTATTCTCGACAATTTCTTTTATATGAAAGAAAATGCCTAGCACCGTCAGCAAAAAAAAAAACAAAATAAATCAAAGCGATTTTCTGGCGGCTTGAAAATTGCATTTTATCCTGTTAAAATTGTTTTTAGTGTGTAATTAGTAAAGTTCGTTGAATTTTTATAATGTTTGTACAAAGTTTGAAATGTTGATTTATATGGCGCTGGCCGCGAAGTCTGTTCTGCCTTTTCAAAGTTGGATAGGGAAGCAAAGCGACTTCGACAAACTTCGCATCTGGACACTCACGTCTCTGTTGACAATTATATTTTCGAGAAAGTAGAGAATTTCGTTTACTTGGTAGCCAGCCTTAACGCATATAACAAGTGCTATTTTGAATTGAGTAGGCAATACATGAGTAAAGTCCTGCGAGTACCGCAGACGATGGAATGACGACCTGTATGAGCTCATCGAATTAGAAGACAACGACTCCGCTGGCTTGACGCCATGTCGTGCGAATAGATACCGAAGCTCCAGCTCTGAAAATATTCAACTCGGAACCCGCTGGTGGTAGCAGAGGAAGAGGGAAGCCCCATGCGATTGAAAGACCAAGCGGAGGACTAGGCTTTAAGAAAAAGAATTTATACATACATATAATATGATAAACTTTTATAAAAAAATACTAAACATTAAATAAACTAATGGAAGATTCCCAAAACTGGTCACAATGTTACTTAAATAGATTAACTGTAACTAACTGTGTAACTATCAAGCAATATATCCTTCATGCCGCTGCTTACCT